ACATTTCATAATACATATTTTCAAGGTTCATGTTTAACAGAATTAACATACGTTTTCATTAATTTTTGGATAGAAATATGTTCCAGTCTCTTCAATAGTAATTATTTTGCTTTTATGTTGGATTAAACTTTTTGATTATCTCTTCCCAAACAGTTATTTTTTAAATCAATTGATTTTAAATATTTTCTTCAAAATGTCAACATTATAAAACTAAATTTATGTTTTTCCTTATATCTTTGAGAATTAACAAAAGTTTAAAACCTAAGCTTAGCTTGCACGAAACGTGGGTAGATTACCTAGTAATAAAATAATGAAAAAGTGATTTAGTATCGATAAAGACACTATTCACAGAGTGTTGGGTTGGACCCCAAAACATTAAATTTTACAGCAAAATAGGATTTGGTATAAAAAAATAGTGTGAGTTGGAGATGGTCCAAGGTAACTAAACTTGGTGAGTGAGGGGCTTTAGGGCATAAAAATAATCTCAGTTTGCACGAAGAATTTGAGTTATTATAGATAATCTATGTCTCATTATCATTTATATTATATTTAGGGGGGATATAAGGTTCTTGGACTCTTGTAGTTTGCTGAACTAATACAGCTGGTTGTTTAAGTTTAACCAGGACCAAAACTAATACAATTGAGTTCTTGGATAGAACTAATGCCACATTGACAAATAAAAGCACAAAAGTACTATATTAGGTAGAATTCCGAAACACACAAGCACTGCGAAATCGACAACTACATCTAAGAACTATACATACTCGCAGAAGAAACTATGATATCTCAACTGCCTCAACAAACTACTAGCGCCTCCAATTTAAATTTAGAAACTTACTAACGGATTATGTTATAATATGAGTTATGACTTTCAAGAAAAATACTCGTTAACCTTCACCATATTTGGTTATTTTAAATTGTTGAAATTACCTATCTAAGGTGTTCTGCATCAGATGTGGGAAAGAACCTTGGGTGACTTTCTGAGAGACGCAAAATGGAAGAAAGCTGAAATTTTGTTTACAGTAATTAGTTTTAGTTCATAGACGTGATCTATTTAGATTGGATTACTCCAACCTGCAAATTCCGCGCCGGCCTAATGTTTTTTATAAATATATTGTAATAACCAGCAAGCACCAGCCCCAGCCCTCCCCACCCCGCATTTATATTTCCCCACACCTGCCCTGCATTGCCCTAACTCGCCCCTCTCCAAATCATTGCCATCCCTAGTCAAGATTTTCAAATTCTCAAACAGTTAGATTTACAGTTTCTCATCCTGTGCATCAAGAATGCATGCATCAAGACTGCACGATTTCTGTAGACTGTAATATTGATGCATTCTCCTTTTTTGCCTGGCTGATTTATGGAGAGTGGCACATAACCTCATATTCTCATACAAGGTATACAAAAAAAGACATTGTTCTGCAAACACACCAAACTTTCAGAATTATATCATCTCTGATTTCTGTTTTTTCTA